AAGTGTGTGTGGGGGGAGAATTGAGCCAGGCATGGTAGCTAACATCTGTAATCCCAGCTACTAGGGAGAAAAAGATCAGGAGGATCTCAACCAATGGCTGGGGGTAGTGGCGTGTGTCTGTTATCCCAGCTACTCAGGGAAGCACAAATAGGAGGACTGTGATCCAGGCTGGCGCAGGCATGAAGTAAGACCTATCTCAAAAGTAACCAGCACAAAAAGGGCTGGGGCAAGGCTCAAATGGTATAGTGCCTGCCTAGCAAGCACAATGCCCTGAGTTCAAGCACCGCCCACACACACACACACACAAAGTAGGAGAGATTGAAGATTGCAGTTCAAACTCTCAGTTTTCCAGGTGATTCACACTGAGGTGACACATGGACCGTATCTGGGCGTGTCCAACTTTCACAGAGGCATCTCTTAAAACTTGGCTATCCTGGGATGGGGATGTACTTGCTTAGCAGGTGCAAGGCTCTGAGTTCAAGCCCCAGCACCACAGGGGAGGGGAGACACTTGGAAGTCTCAAACTCTCTGGGCATTGCCCAAGACACAGAGGTGCCTTTCTTCAAACCTCTACAAAGAAGAGCCCTATGCAGGGCCTCGGGTGTACAGATTGTGTTAGTGAAGGGGAAGATTTTCTGTTAAGTGCAAGAGGCCACATTTTCTTCAGAGTGATTGGAAAGAGAGAGACAAAACAATGAGGAAACAAAATGTCTCATGAAAAAAAACAAAATCTGCATCCCATGTAGGTAACGGTGCTATCCAACTTTTAAATCAACTGAGACATTTAAAAAAAATCCATCATTCACTCAAATTTGTGCATCTTTTCTATTTTGTAGGCAATTGGAATGACAGAGACACAAGTCAGGCACAGGTGGAAAAGAAAAGCCGGAGAACCTCAACACACCCGGCACACCTGACCATGCAGCAATGCAGCAGGGGAAGAACTGCTTTGCCACTTTCCAAAAATGACAAGTGGTCTTCCAGCGTGGGCTCACAGGAAGGGGTGTGTTTTGAAGCAAAAGCTTCACAGAATACAGGGTGAAACCTCAGCCATCTCTCACATGTATCCCATAGCTGATCAGCCCCCCAAAGCTACCCACCCTGCGGCCTGCCTCTTCACGAAGCCTGGCTCACTGGCTCCAGGCTTTGTGAGTTCAGTGCTGGGGGCCTTTTCTCTCAGGTTGTCTGTAGAGACCCTGATGCCACCTCCCCACCAGCCTTCACCCCACAGTCTCTGAGACATTTCTCACCCACATCTCTCACCCCATTATCTTATCCGTGGTCCTTGTGAGATCCATGCCAACAGAACACTGGCCCTCTGTCCCCAACCCTGCCTTAAGACTGGTCCACAGCAGGTCCTCAATAATGCCAAAGAAGAGTCAGAAAAAAACCTCTGGTTAGGAGTGATGATCCATGCCTGTGATCCCAGCTCTAAGGAGGTTGAGCAGGAAGATCATGAGTTTAAGCCCAGCCTGGACTACACAGCAAGATCCAGAAGGAAGGAGGAAGGGAGGAAGGGAAGAAAGAAAGCAGGGAAGGAAGAAGCAGAAAGGAAGAAGGCAAAAAAAGAAGAAAGAAAAGAAAGAAGAAAGGAAAGAAGGAAAGAGAGAAGCAGGAAGGGAGGAGGAAGAAAAGAAGAAAGGAAGGAAGGAGGAAGGAGGGGAAAGAGGGAGTATGGAAGGGAGGGAGGGAAAAGAAGAAAAGAAACCCCAGAATGTCTCTTTTAACTCAACTCAAAAAGAAGTACATCTGTCAAAACACGAAAACTCTGGACGTGCTGTTAAAAATGTCCTGACGTCTCCCAACTTCCTACTCTGAAATACCCAGGTTAGTAATTTTTAATCTGAATGATGATGTTTAAAAATACTTTATCATTTTTAAATCTAAATTAAGAGTTAAAAAGTACTGGCAAAATTCAACCATTCACAGAAAATCTTGCGTGAACCATACTTAGGTCAAATTTGACTGTGTCTTGCTTATTTCTGGCCTTTAATAGAACAACTTGTTAGTTTGTTAGTAGTTCGTTCTCTTTCCCATCTATAGCAGGCACATCCTGCCATCACTAGCAAATCAGAATGCCATGCCCTAGTATGCAGGTGAGGCACACAGTTATTAAAGCAAAAATGGCAGAAAAGAGGAAAACCCCACTGATTCCCTGGTCTCAGACCCCAGCACTCTACACAAGTTCATGGTAAAACTGGCCATACCATAGCCAGAGCAGCAACCCAGAGGACAGGAAGCCAAGACTGGGACAAGTCGACCGTGTTTCAAAGCCTGAAATAAGACTTGTGGCCTTAATAGAGATGTTTCATTATCCATTTATTCTTAGGGGTCAGGCCATTCAGGAAACTGCAGCAACAAGAACAATCTTTTTTCTGCCCCCAAGGAGAGGTCAGATTCACAGGGGAATTCTTAACAAATCTACCTCCATTATTCCAGAGAATTTATGGTAAAATATGTTTTCAGAGCAGAAGAAAAAAGCTACATTTTTATGAGAACCAGAGAGGAGCAAGAATATGCAGTCCACCCCCTCCCCAAACAGGGCTGCTGATGGCAGGTGCCCACACCCTGGTGTGAGGGGAGAAGGAGTGTTTCGAGAACTTTCCTCTCACTAACACAAAAGCAGAGAGGGCGCCTGGGCACAGAAAGTGATTGCACTCTGAGAAATTAGCTCAAGTTCATGGGCTTGAGGTGCTTTCTAAACACTATGCACTAAATGGGTCTCCTCAGTTCTTGGAGGCTGGTCTAAGACTTCTGATGGAGAACCCAGCACAACAGCTGAGCAGCGCCCCAGAAACCAGACCACAGGGACAGAGTGGCCCAATTTCCCTCAAATGTGAAAAACCCCACTTAAGGAGAACGTAGGGAAGTTCAGTGTTAAAATTTAATTCAGTTTAGCAGTGTTTGTAAATAATGTATCTTCCAACAATGGACTGCCTATAATACTTCACGACATTTTCCTGAATTTTGGAGCAGTTTCACCACTTCATAGTGTTTATGTTCTGATTTCTGTGTTGCTGTGTAAGCAAAGGCACCAGAAGCCACTGGGGGAGTTGGTCACCCTGACCCTGGTATGGCTGAAGTGGGGATACAGAACATCAAGGGGGCTAATGACCCTAGGTAACAGCTGACCAGTCCAAAGGATGTGGTAGGAACTCTGAGGTCTGAGCACAGGGACAATTTATGTCCACCTTAAAGGAACTAAACCTGAACAGAAATTATCTAAGCAATACAAAACTTTTACATCCAGAATAATGTCAGTGAGAGGCTTAATTAAATGTCCCCAGGCAGGCCTGAAGCAAGACAGAACTTTGGGTTTCTAGACACCTGAAGAGAGTGCATCCCACCACCCTAAAGAAAAACTCATAATAACCCCCCCCACCCCTCTTCTCTTCAATCATTACAAGCTTTTCAGGGGACGCTGTTAAATTCCTACTATCTGCAATACTTCTGCCTAAGCACTCCATTATTTACTTAATCTACTCTATAATAATAAGGTTGATGTGCCCTAAAGTTTTCAGTTCAAAATACCTAACACAATCACAAAATATACCAAATGGAAGAATTCTGCTACGATAAAACACTATTGCTTGTTGCATCATTCGTGTGAAGACCCCTTCTATAAATTTCCTTTAAACTATATTCTACTCTTACAGAGTGGAAATACTGCCTTGCACAGGCAACGTGAGAGCCAGCAACGGAGCGGTACCCACGAGTCTGTACCCGAAACGGTAGTTGGCCTCGATGTTAGAACACGAAAGATCCTGCAACTGATACAACTCAGACGCACAGGGACAGGGGTATGTACCATGCACAGGTGTCTTCACCGGGCTGCTCGCTAAACACGTTTCCTAATTAGCATTTGTTTATGCGATGCTGATGTTGCCACTGTAACCTTCGCAAAATGCACCGCTGAGATTGTAGCGTTGGATGCGGTAGACATTTCGCTAACAATTTCAGTCAAACTTTCTTTTCTTTATATTCCTTCGGTGTAAGAAATTACCTGTTCTTCACCCAATTTAGCTTGTACCCAGGCTCCCCAGTCCAACCCTATTGTGCCGTGACTCGTTAAGCCTGGAAATAGTGAAATTGTTAACGGGACGGGGGTGGGGGGGGAACCTCAACTAACCGAAGCTCTCCCCCTGGCGCAGAAAATTCCCCATTTGCCCTAGGGATTGAATTGTCAGACACTGACTTGCTCTACCCTGTGAAACTGACATGTCTATTTACTAGGAAACAAAGACGCCGCTCGCAGAGACCCCCGCTCTCTCTGCGCGCCCGGTGCGCTCCGCGCGCAGCGTCCTCTCTTGCGCTCCCCTCCGCGCCCCACAGGGAGGACCCTGCGATCCGTTTCGGCCAATAATTAAAATGGAGACCGGACGGACGTCCAGCTTCTGGAAAGAAAATGACCCCCAAGGCTCCTCAGGGCGCAGGGACCCGCCCGCGCCCACCTCCCGCAGTTCCGACTCTTGGCAAACTCGGCGCGGGCGGGTCCGGGTGCGGCTCGGCTGCGCGGGCGGGGGATGCATGGGGCGGCGCGGGCGGGGGGCGCCGGGACGCCCCCGGGCTGCCTCCCGGGGCCGGGCGTTGACGCAGCAGAAATTACCAGCTGGAAAATTCCCCTTTCGGAGGTGACGGGGGAGGGACCGTGGCGGCGGCGGCGGAGGCGGCGGGAGGTGCCGGGGGCCGAGTGGCCGGGCAGCCCCGCCGCCTCCGCCGCCACCGCCTCCGCGCTCAGCCCCGCTGGGACCAACCACCCGGCCGCCCCGCCCACGCCACTCCGGCCAGGGACCCGCGGGCCTGGGTCTCCGCGCCGCCCCCAGCCGCCAACCGGCGCCGATCGTCCCCGGGAGGGCGCCCCCGCGGGGCGGGGCGGGGCGGGGAGCGGGCGGGGGCGCGCCCCGGCTCCTAGCCTTCCCGGCTGCAGCTGCCCGGCCCGGCCCCGGCCCCGCCGCGATGCGCCGGCCCAGCCGTGCGGACAATGAGCCGGCGCCGCTTACCTGTGACCCCATGGGGCGCGGGCGCGGGCGGGCGCCGTGGCCGCGGACCGGCGCCGGTGATCGCGCCACCGCGGGCGAGCGCTGTGTCCGGACAGGTCCGACCTGCGCGCTCGCCAGGGCTGATCGGTCCGCCCGGCCGTCCGTCCGTCCGTCCGTCAGGCCGGCGCGCGCCCCCGCGCCGCTCCAGCCCCGCGGCCCCGCCGCCGCGCGCGCCCCGCCCGCGGACCCTGACCCCGCCCCCGGCGCGCGCCCGGCCGCCGCTGATTGGCCCGCGCCGCTCCCTGGCCGCGGCCACCGCCCCAGCCCCGCCCCCGCCGCCGGCCCCGCCCCCCCGCTCTGCCGGCTCCGCGCTGCGGGCTGGTGGGGGCCGCTCGGCGGCCGGTGCTCCCGCTGCCCCCCCCGTGGCAGTCGGACAGCGGAAGTGCTGGCTGGAGCTCGCTGGGCATTGTGGGAAGCCCTCTCCCCTGGGCTGTCGGGCTCTGGGGCGGCGCGTCGTGGGGTCCCCGGGCCCGGCATCCGTTCCCCGTGGGTGGCGCGCAGCCGGAGACCACCTGATGGGAGAGACTGGCTGGGCGAAGGCTCCCCAGCCGGGTGGGGATGGCGCACCCCGCGTTGCCCACGTGCCTGTTCCTGGGGACGTGCAGGTCCCTGGGTCATGGCTGTCCCCCAACGCCGCGAGCCGTCGCGGTGCGCGTGTCTCGCAAACTTCGCGACTTCCCTTCGCACCGAGGCGGCTCCGCGGGCTGCGTGCTGCGCGGCGAAAAGGCGCTCCAGGGGCCCAGGGGCGCGGTGCCCAGTCGGGGCTGGGTACTGCGCGCCCCCGCCATCGGGGAACCTCGGCGCACCCACGGAAAGGCACGCTCTGGGGCGAGGGCCACTGGGCGATGCCCACCACTGAAGCTTGGGTTTGACTATGAGCACCGGCAACTGCACTTCGGTCTTTTTGTCGTGCTGTCCGCTGGAGGGGGCGTGGGGCTCTGGGAAGGGGCGGGAGTGTTCTGGGTCTTGCCAGGAGCCCGCAGCGGGTGAACGCATCGCTATTCGTGTTGCCTAGAATGGTCTCCTCCCACCCCACCCCCAGTGGCGCGGTGAGGCCCGCGCGTCCCTTGTAGCGTCCGCTGTCCAGGGGCCCTCGGGCGAGCGAAACCCGGAGCGCGGCCCCACATTCCTGGTTGATCTGAGCCGGGGTAAAGGCCACCTCGTTTCCTCCTCCCAGGCGCGGCGGCGGCGGGAAGGGAGGTGAGACTGTGGCCGGCCAGCCGCGCAGAGGAGTAGAACACGGCTGAGCCAACCAATCGCGAGACGCCCCGGACCGTCCGTGCCTTGCCTCCCTGCGGGGCCAGCGCCACGAAATTCCTCGGAAGGTGGGAGGCGGCAGGCCATGATGGAGGCTTTCTCATGATGTGTAAGGAGGCATTCAAAGGGCGGCAGTGGGAGGGTAGGCTGGGGCGCGGGGTGGGGGGAGATTCTCCTTGATTGAACAAGGGCGCGCAGAGGTCTGGCAGCCGGCGATGAAAGCCGGGGACACTCCCTCACTGCTCGCCGGCGCCTGGAAATGGCTGTGCAGAGGCCTCCACCCACCCCTACCAGGCGCCTGGGATGGTGTTGCTGGCCCAGGAACCCCCATCCCCAATCTTTCTGCTGGACCTTCTTGGGCACATCCACTGATAACCCAAGCTTCCCTGGTGGAGGTTGGGCACAGTCATGCTGAGAAGTGGCTGCCTAGAGGTCTCCAGGAGGGTCTAGCTGGGCAGTACCTTTTCCCACTGAGGGGACAGAGGGCACTGCCTACAGATGACTGCACATACCACTCTCCCTCCACCACCACCACCACCACCACCACCACCCACCTACCTGGAGCGCCATTGCAGGCCTGAAGAGATCTCTTAGGTCACTCTCCTTTCTCAAAGAGAGTCCCAGCTTCTCCCCAAGATGACTGGATACCTGAAACCCTCTAAGGAGGACCACATTGGTGGCATGCTGTGTCCATGTTCCATGCAGAACTTCAGAGCAGTGGAGGCTGCCTTGCCATAGCAGACAGTGGTGTTCAGTCATTGCTCAGGAGGTCTGTCTGTGAGAACCAAGCCTGTATCTCACCACTACAAGGCCCACTCCTCCTGCCATGCTAGAGCTGTCCATGTTGGTAGAAACTTGCTGAGTTGTGGAATGACCCAGGGCACAGAGGACACTGCTTACTTCTGCTACACACACACACACACACACACACACATACCAGCACTGCCTGTGACTAGGGGCCAAGGCCCTGTCTTTCTGCTCCAAGACTCAACAGCGGGCCAAGCAGCCTGGACATAAAGCCAGTACCTCAAAAGACAGATTCAAGAACAATTTCCCAGAGCTGAGACAAAGTCCTGATTAAGCCATGCTCAAAGCCACTCTAGTCCACCCTGCCATTGTTCTACAAGCTAATAAGCCCCCTTTACTGTTTTAAGCCAAAGAAGCAGCAGCAACTGCAGCCAGCCTCTCAGCAGAACCTAGGGGAGGAGGGGAAAGAGGGGAGGTCTTACAACTGGACTGGCCCAGCCACCTTGATGTGTCTGCTCAGATGGGTCATACTGCCAGCATGGCCCAAGAACCCACAACCAGTGGCCCCTTCTGCCCTGGAGATAGCTCTGGGAACCTCAAGGATGAATATGTGGGGTTGGCTCAGTGGCACTCTGACCACAGCATTCATTGTCCAGGGTGGGAGTCAATGTGCCATGAGGACATGATCCATGATCCCTGACCCCTGGACATGATCCCTGACCTTGACAAGTGGGAGGACAAGACAAACAGATGAGTGGCCAGGACCCTGCAGGCCACACTTGCTCGGGCTATGTGGTTGCAGTTATTTTGGAAAGTTACCCCCATTCACCTGTGTGAGCATGCCTGGAGCCCACTAAGGGACAGCCCAGAACCTGTGAGGGAATGAGTAGTGACAGGCCAGTTATTCTGGGGGCCATGGCTGGGGAACAGAAACCAATTAAGTCATGGATGTGCTTGCCGATGACAGCCTTTCAGAATGTGCACCCCATCCACTCCAGGGACCTGGAATGACTCCACAAGAGCCACAACGGGCAGGCCACATGGCTGGCCAGGCCTACACTTACAGCCTCTGAAAACCTGTGCCCACAGACTTCCTGTGCCAACTTGTTCTGCCATCTGGCAACCTGCCTTCCACCCCCACCATGTGGCTTCAAGGGGGCAAAAGAGTGTCATCGGGACCCAGTTTCATGCCAGGTGGTCTTACACCACTGGGAGCAGAAACCTGCCTCTTAGCCTCAGGGGCTTCTTTTGTGAAGATGGTTTAGGAGGAGCCTTGGGAAAATTGCAGATGAACAACAAATATCCCTTAGTATCTTCTTTCCTGTGTCCCTAGGGTCACCCCATCCTCACCTCCATTTCCAGGGCCTTCACCACCACCCTCATCTCCCCCAAGGCAGCATTTCTTCATCCACCCCCAGCTGGGTTTTCTGTAGCAGTCTTTGTCTCAGTCACTGGTCAGGGAACCTGCCTGTTTATTCTCCAGCCATTGGTATTGCTTAGTTGTCCCCATGGCAACAGCCCCGGGAGTCTAGCCTTCTCCCAGGGACTGGCCCAGAATCTGCCCCTGCCTCTCTAGGCCTCTGCAGGAAGCCCAGACAGAGAAAGACAGAGGACAGGGTTGGGAGGGAGATACCCGCTGTCCGCCTGAGGATGCTGGGGCTGCCCAGGGAACCGCCCACCACACGTCATCCTGGGTCCTGCGGTGGACCGGAGACTGGCCTTGGGCTGCAGCAGAGCCCCACCCATGTGCTGTGGGGAGGGGGGAGTACTAGCCCAGGCCTCCCTAAGACCACCCTCCAGAACTGCTCCACGGCTACCTGCCAACGCCACGGCTGCCCCACCCCAACTGTCCTTTGGGCCTGTGTCCTTGCCAAGCCCCAACTGCCACTCCAGCTGCCACTGCCAACTGTCGCCCCGTCTCCATTCCAAGCGCTTGCTCACCCCCAACCGTCCTTCCATAGTGCCACGCCAATTGCCAGCCCCTTGCTTCCTAAGCCTCCCTGGCCACAGCACCAGGGTTCTGCATTCCAGACTTTCCCCCACTTTCCTGCCAGGACAGAGAGGCCACACCTGCTGTGTGCCTGGCAGTGATGGTCTGGGGGTAGGGAAGTACTGAGGGCCCAGGATAAGAGCAGTGTTGTAGGGCAGGGGCAGAAGCAGAAGGGACTAGGGGCCAGGTCCCAGCAAACAGAAGGGAAATGTCAGGAAGGGGATGGGGCAGAAGCAGAGGGTAGGGGGACCTGACCTGTGTGCCAGCTGCCACAACCAAGCCCAGCATGGGGATGGATAAAAAGCAGCCAGGGCCCAGGACCCTGTGGGTGCCCTCAATGGAGCCAGCCCTCCCCAGGCTGTGAATCTGTCCATGGACCTTTCCTCTGAGGGTCTGTGAACAGCTTAGCCTGACCTCAAACCCTGGAGGGTCCTGGCAAAAGTCAGGAGGGCACCTAACCATCCCCCACCCCGAGCTACATTCCTCAACCAATCAAATATATATATTTTTAATTTTAAAATAAAAACTCAAAAGCCAAAGCAACATTTCAGTCACCTTGTCTGGACTGGTGTCCAGGGTGCCCACCAGCTTCTACAGTCCAAGTTGGACCCAGTTCCCAGGTCTCAGTTATCTTGGGCCAGCCTGGACTGCCTCCTCCAGGCAAGGTCACCACCCAGCCTCAGGCCACCTCTCCAGGTCCCAGGCCTGGCCTTGCTTCCCCTCTTCCCTCATAACCTCCTTTCCCCATTCATCTCAGTGTACTCTGAGATGTCACTTCTACAGAAGGACACTTGCCTGACCCCACCTCACATGGGAGCCCCCATAGCCTGTCCTTAACCCACTAGACTTTGTCCCCAGTCCTGGCTAGCCTAGGCACATAAGCAAGTGCTATGAGGGTCCTCACCAGGTCTGGGAGGGGGTGCTAATGCCTCTCACAGGTGCAGGCCTGGGGCTGTAATTTCATCTCAGTAGCACTGAGGGCTAGGCCTCAGTCTTGGCTGGAGGGACGCTGCTGTTCCCCAGGGGCTACCACCCCTGGGCTCACATTGCAAAGGCTGCTGATGGCTCTGCAGATAGCACCACAGGTGAAAGGGACACCTGGCT